CCCTCCCTCCCTTTCCCTCCCTTTCTCCTCCATCTCTCTCTCCCTCTCCTTCCCCTTCCACTCCCCCCATCCCCCCCCCTCTCTCCCTCCCTCCCTCCCTCTATAATTCTTTATGTCTCCCCCCCCCCCCCCCCCACCGTAAAGGCGAAGGTTAGGATTGTGGTAAAAAGAGGAGAGAGAGAGAGAGAGAGAGAGAGAGAGAGAGAGAGAGAGAGAGAGAGAGAGAGAGAGATTGTCCGGGGGGGTTAAATTGGAGTATTTTGGTCACCAAGAAGATGGTCTAGCACCACGTCTACCTCCTCCTCCTCCTCCTCCTCCTCCTCCTCCTCCTCCTCTTGTCCTCTTCCTCCTCCTCTTCCTCTTCCTTTTTCTCCTCCTCCTCTTGTCCTCTTCCTCCTCCTTCTGCTGCTCCTCCTCCTCCTCTTCCTTCCCCATCTCGTCGTTTTCTCTGCTTTCCTTCTGATCACTTTGATAGTTTCAAGGAAAAACAGACAGAATACACACTTACAGACATACATACAGAATACACACTTACAGACAAACATACAGCCACGTATACCCATTTCTTTTACACGGAAATGCACTAAATTTCTAGAAAGCGAAAAGAAGAACGAGAGAGGAGTGTGTATGTGTGTTAACCGGTAAATGGTTTAGTTACACCGACGGGCAAGCCCCTGAGTTTGTTTACATTCCGTTCATCTTTAGGAGCGTGTTATTGTGCTTGTGTTTAGCGGTTCTCCCGTTTTCTCTCGTCCCTGGTTTCTCATGTTTTCTCTCGTCCCTGGTTTAATCATGTTTTCTCTCTTCCCGGCTTCATCTCTTGTCTGTATATCTATCGTTTCGTTTCTGTTTGTCGATTTTCCTGTTTTCCTGTCTTCGTCTCTCTCTCATCTCCTCAACTCTCTTCTCCTCTCATCTCCTCTCCTCTCTTTCCTTATCCCTCCCTCCCATCCTTCTTTCCTTATCTCCTTCTCTCCCTCCTCCTCCTCTTCGTCTCCCTCTCATATCTCTTCTTCCCATTTCTCTATCCTCCGTGTCTGTCTCGCCCTTGCTTTATTCCCTCTCTTTGCAAGCGTGTAATGACCATTGCGTAACGAACTGGCGAATGTTGCAATGTTTTGATTGCTTGCTGCTTGCAAAGGTCGAGGGCTGCACTTTGTTGATAGGAAATTTGACCCTTAGAGAACCATGTTTTCTCTTTTGTTATGTCTACGATGCAAGGGGGAATGAAGGAATGGAAGAGAGACAGAAGGGAGAGACGGGGAAAGGAGAGAAGGGGGGGGGATAGAGGGAGAGAGAAGGAAGAAAGGATAGGAGGGGAAGAATACAGTAAGAGAGGGAGATTAAGAGAGAAAGCGAAGGAGGGATAGGGGAGAGAATGAAGTAAGCACGAGGAAGAGCGACAGTGGGAGAGGGTGAGAGAGAAAGGGAAGAAAGAAGGAATAGAAGAGGGGGAAGGATACAGAGAGCGAGAGAGCGAGAAAAGGGGATGAGGGATAGGAGGAAAGGTGAGTGACACAGACAAATAAACAGCAAGAGGAAACAGGAAGAGGGGGGGATGTAGGCAGACAAGGTAGGTTCGTGAGTAGACACACACACACACTCTCACTCACACACACACACACACACACACACACACACACACACACACACACACACACACACACACACACACACACACACACACACACACACACACACACACACGAAAAAAAACGAAACAGCCAGAGACAACAGACAAACGGAGAAGCAGATATGAAGGGAAACAGACACACACTCGAAGTCAAAGAAAGCACCAGTGCCACAAGCGAAGGGGCATTGGGGCAGGGCATAGGCGGGCACAGTTGGGCACGGGTGTTAGTGAGGGTAAATGACGGCTGCGGGGAGGCATTGTTGGCAGGGCGAGGCTCTGCGCGTGCGCGCGCGTGTGTGTGTGTGTGTGCTTGCGTGCGTATGCGTGTGCATGCGTACGGTGAGTGTGTGTGTGTGTGCGTGCGTATGCGTGTGCATGCGTACGGTGAGTGTGTGTGTGTGTGTGTGTGTGTGTGTGTGTGTGTGTGTGTGTGTGTGTATGTGTGTGTGCATGTGTATGTATGTGAGAGAGAGAGAGGGAGGGAGAGGGAGAGGGAGAGGGAGAGGGAGAGGGGGAGAGAGAGGGAGAGAGAGAGAGGGAGGAGAGAGAGGGAGAGAGAGAGAGGGAGAAGGAGAGAGGTAGAGGTAGGAGAGAAAGAGGGAGAAGGAGGAAGAGAGGGGGAGATGGAGATGGAGAAAGAGAGGGAGAGAGAGATATAAGGAGAGGGAGAGAGATAGAGGGGGAGGAAGAGAGAGTGAGAGGAAGATGGAGAGGGAGAGAGAGAGGGAGAGGGAGAGGAAGAGAGGGGAGTGGGAGAGGAAGAGAGAGGGGGATAGGGAGAGGAAGAGAGAGGGGGAGAGGGAGAGGAAGAGAGAGGGGGAGAGGGAGAGAAGAGAGAGGGGGAGAGGGAGAGGAAGAGAGAGGGGG